TACTTCCAAGAATCTTCATGTATAAAATTTATTAGAATCGATTAAACGAAGCCTATTTTTTTGAAGAAAATCTCAATTAAAAATCAATTGCACGAGTTTTTATTGCATAACTTAAATGAACGTATCAAACTGAATATTTAAAGTACAGTGGATAAATAAAAATAATAAACAAATGCCAAAAATGGAATAACGATCAAATGGTTGATTGATTACTAAATAAAACCAAAACGGAGTGGAGTCATTTGTGCTAGGTCCGAAGACAATAGTCCTGAAGTTACAAAAATTGTTGTTCAAATAAAGCACCAACGCTCAAAAAAGATCTGATCAACTTGCGCAATTTCTTCGGCAAAGTATTAGAAGAAATTATCCAGTCCAATGTATTTATGCACCAGTGTTATTTAGTAAAAGATACTAAAATTGAAAGTAAGCGAATATTTACGACAATAGCAAATATTTAGCACAAATCCATAATACTTTTAAACAATTGCTTACCAAATTATACTGTCATTATTCATAATCCTATTGATGTAAAGAACATATAGCGAGGATACAATTTGATTTTCGAAAGACTCCGTCTACAAAAAAGAATGCAGATGTGATTACGCTTCAAAATCATTGATTCGGAATATTACAATTGTTTTTTTTAATACGGTTAGATCATCAATCTTTATTCGTCAAAAGCCACTCATTTAAGTTGGGGAGAAACTTTTTTTATCAATTTATCACTTTGTAAACTCTAATTACGATTTTATTTATTAGCTTTCGTTTTTATCTTTTATCGCAAGGATTTTGATTTTAATTTAAAATAACAAAATAAATAATAATAATAACGACGATTGTTCTTTCCCTTTTTATTTTAATTAATCATTTATTTTATTTATATTATTAAAAAGTTGAACTTACTTGACGCTCACTAAAACATCTGAATAAGGTGGCCTCGTGTTATTATGAATTTTGTCTACCATTTTACAAATGTTCGATTCGTTGTATGCTGTGTAATTTTAAATTTTCGCGACTGCATAGCTAAATCTTTATTATGAAATTTTTTTAAAGTCATAATCTTCGCCTAAAGTCAGGTAGGTGCCTACGAAATTGACCATACAAAAATTTTTTAAAAAATTTCACACGATTCGATTCTCGTAACCGTTGAAATTTCATTGATCGATAACGGTAACAAATCTCAATCTCTATATCTAAAGGATTAAATGCTTTTTAACAAAGTCGATTTTCATAAATTGAGATAATATGCAGTGATTCGCGTCGGTCGGGTTATTGACCTAAATTTACCATTTTTTTTTTTTTTTTTTTTTTTTGTATTTTATTAATATTTTGATTCGATAAATTTTCAAAACTATATACCGGTTTCGTCAAAAATAGCATTTGTATTTCAAGGTAAAGATCGACATTGAGTACGATAAATTAGTTCAAAGGTTATCATAACGATAATACAAGTGACAATGCATAAGTGTAATTTGTCATACAGAGACTGATGATCATCACGAGTAGATCAATTTTTTTATAATAAAAAAACATAAATAGTTGATTTAAAGATTTTACAATACATGTTTTTTTTGATATATTTTTTTATAATTGTATTAAAGATTGTGATCAACAAATTATGATTTTAATAAAACAATTTATTTAATAAAATGATTTTGAATGTTCAAAGATATCAGTTAAAAAATGTAATGTTTTGCTATTTTTATTTTCAAAAATAAGTATTTTATGATTGAAAATTATAAGGATTTAATTATGAGATGTCTTATAATTTTTGATATTTTAGGATCATATTCTGATCTGTCATAAATGCTAACCTATCAAGATGAGAAATCTCAATATTATTTCAGGTAGAACATCTGCTAAGAATAATATAAGCTTGATCTACAAAGAAGGTATTTTGATCTAAAGCAAAAGAAACATTTAGTAAAGTTAAACCTTGTATCTTATAAATTGTAAGAATAAAGCATTTTTGTAATTGATATTATTTTTAAATAATAGAAAGTGATGTATTTATTTGTAAATGATTGTATCTATTATAGAATCTCTTATAGAAAATATGATCTGAACACTAGTCGAAATAATTTTTTTTTTTTTAAAAAAAATGTGGTACTGTCAGACTTTATTAATAGATTGTATGATAATAACGAGATTAAAAATTAAAAAAGTAAATACAAAAAATAAAGACTAACTATCCCTCGTAGTTCTATTTCAAACCTGTTTGAATCGACCAATCACTAAAATTCTCTCTTAGTATCCTTCCAAAGAAAATTCTCAAGAAGAATACAAATGATGAAAATCTAAATGAACATGTCAGCATCGTCCTAAGAAGTCACACAGGAATAACCAAAATTGAGAGCCAAATATAACCAAGTCTTCTAATTATCAACCAGAGATTTCCTCAGTTTAGAGGGAAATCAGCCATTGACTTTATACTTTATTTTCTTTTTTTTCAATTTAACTTCAATATTAAGAAATTGTTCTTTAATAACCATGGCTTTACAATGAGGAATCCAAATCAATTCATATATAGATTTATTTAATTTATCCAAAATTGTAACCAATATTTAGTTCACAATTGATTGGAAAAAAGGGATCTAAGGTGATTAACTAAAGATCTGGAAATAAAACCTTTCACTAATTGGATAAACTTAGTGGGATCTGAGGTAAAATTAAATGATTCCAAAAATTGTTGTTTGATTGAGAGGTAAGAGTGTAATCGATTGTTATCAATTTTAGACAGAAGTAGATCATCAGCAAAATTTATGAGTTCCGCAGATATGTTGATCAATTTAACTTTATTAGAGAAGCAAGTCCATAAGTGATCAGCAGTTTCAGGAGTGATGTTACAGAGAGCACAATTCCAGCCTTTATAAATATCTAGACATCTGATTTTCAATTTTGATAATGTGGACAGTTTTTCAGTAAGGAGTTTAATTTTGAAAGCCTTTTTACTTCGTTGCAAGAAAGAAGTAGAGAATTTATTTCCATTATCATTATCAGCTAAATAAAAGAAAGTTGAAGGCCAAGATATTTCATTATTTAAGGTCTGTTGTTTGATTGAATAGTTTCTATTTAGTTCTAAGTATTCAGAAAATTGCAAAGCAGCACAAAGGTTCTTCTAAAATTTTCTAGAGAAAGATTTGATAGAAACTTCCTTAAAGGATAACACAAGTCTAATATCTTCTGTTGACGTAATATTTAATATAAGAGGGGTGAATTAGCATCCTTGTTTTGCTAGTAAATCAGTTTTATTATTATAGAAATCATTCGAGTGTCCCTCAACTTTGATAAATGAAACTTTTAGTTTGAGGGAGATAATAATATGTTTAATTAAAGTCTAAACAGTATAGTTTGGGGTTTTCTCAACAGAACGAGTCGTATGAATATTATTAAACAGACTGTGGAAATCCTGAATTACCGCTTGGCTGTCCAAGAAAATTGTTGGTGATAAAGAAGGAGAACAAACAATTAAAGCAGTCAGTAATGCAAATAATTCAACTCTTATTGATGATGGATGATGTTGGATGGCAGCAGAAAAAGAACACTGATTATGATTGTGTAGATCAGGAGAGATTCAACTAATTCCCATATGACAATTAACTGATGTAGCATTCATTAATGAACCATCAGTGTAAATATTAGGTGCATTATTATAATGAAAAATACATTGGAGAAGGTAGTAGAGAGTTGTTAGAGTTGAAGTTGGTAGAAAGGTTATTCAATAAAATCATTTATTAAAGTATGGTTAATAGGAATTATAGGAGGTAAAACTAAAGGTATCACTGGAATATTTTGTTGTTGTTATTGTATTCTAAGTGATTGTTATCCAAGTGATCGATATTTATGAGAATTAAGGATCTCTTTTAGTGATTGCGTCATAATACTTGTACTTCTGTTTGGATATGAAGCTTTAGCTTTTTTAATTATAACAGTGTAAGCTGGATCACAAGACTGCACACATGTAACAGATCTCAATGGGGAGCTGCCCTTTTTAGAATGAGGCCTTTTAAGAATATCTAAGAGTTATAAATTATAGATATCACAACCACTACAAGGAATAATAGAACGTTCTGTGTATTGAGGAAGGATTTGGTTGTTTCTAGGAGCAAGGACTAAGTGTTGATAAGCCAGTGAATTATCAGCAGGGTATTTTCTTAGGATCCTTCCAGCGATTGATCGATTTAATTGGATGTGAAAAACTGACACAAATTCTCTAGTTTTACTATTAATATCTATATCTAAACTTGGAGAAAAAATAAATTATTAGAGGCTAGTCTAAAAATATTTTTAACTATATTATTATTAGGATTATCTAAGACTAAAGAAGAAACTAATATATAAATTTTAGGAAGTTTAGGAGAAGGAAGTGAAATGGTAGAGTAGCAAGAACAGCTAATTATTTCAACCCAGAAGAGTAAAGAAAATCCATCAGTTGCCAAAAATTGATCTAGAAAAATCAGTTTGTATTCTTTATCATAACTATTGATTGAGTTAATTGTGTTGATGTTAGAATGGAATCCAATGGTAATGAGCTGCCTTTGATTTTATTCAATAAAGTGTTATTTAGTCTGAAATTGGTATCTATATAATCATGTTTGAGTAAGCTGATCATTGCTCCAATTAGATTTTTATAGGATTTGTTATCATATGGTCAATTCTAGCATGCCAAAGAAGAAACATGAAGTTCTTCATTAGATTGTAACTGAAAAAGTCTAATTCATGAGATTTGATGGTATAGGAAAGTAGAGTTAAATTGATATAAAAAGGCAGTTGAGAAGAATTGAAGTTGTTTATTCCATAAATCTCTTAGTTGGTAAAAGATATTTCCAGTAAATAGGCAATTTGAAGCAGAGATAGCAAAGTGTGAATTATTTTTAATAAGTGTTCTAATAGGAGAGGATATCCTAATGCTTCATTTTTGGATAATGAGATAGTCTATAAACAGTATTTCAAAAGAGAGAAGAGAACCATGTTGGTAATATAACAAATCTGTTTATCTGTTAAAGGCTTTTCTTAAGTAGTGTAGTAAAGGATCTAATTGTATATATGCATTGATGTTTGACAAAAGTTGAAGAGTTATTTATATTGATCCAGACTCCAAGAAAACAAATAGAAGATCTTTTAAGAAAAAGGTTCAAAATGGAAGTACCAAATTTCAATGGGACTGGAGTAGGGTATCCAGAAGAATTAGTAATAAGTTGAGACTTATTTTTATTAATAGCAGCTTTAGTGAATCCATAAAATTCATCAGCAATACTTAAAATATCTTTTAAATTTTCTTTGGAATTTGAAATCCAATTAGCATTATCCATATATCCTAACGAAGAAATTTCTAATGACAAAGAGGAAGTAGTCATATTCAAAATATCATCAGTCCATGTATGTTGTATTGAGTATCCTTTATTCATACTGTCAATTTCACAGAGAAGTGGATCAAAATAGATACACTAAAGCAATGGTGAAATGACTTTACCTTGATCAATACCAATACAAACGTCGTAAAAATCAGAAAAGCCATCTGCTGTGAATATAGCATTTTTCCTTTTAGAAAAAAGGTTAATGATTACTTGGATATAAAGTTCTGGAATTTTTAGTCGACGCATAGCAAGTTTAAAGATAGAGAGATCAACTTGATCATAAGCTTTTGATAGATCATGTAAAAGAATCCAAATAACTTTTTTGTTTTCTATTGCATCTTCTATTAGCATATTCATTATTTTGATGGGATCTTCAATAGAAACACCAGGGAGTCCAGCAAAATTCTTACCTTTACAAATTTTGTGTTTGGCTATGATTAAAAACAAATAGTTGGTGATAATTTTGACAAAAGCTTTTCTAGTAGTCTCCAGTAGAGTGATAGGACGTGTTTTGGTTATATCACAACCCCAATCTATAGGTTTAGGGATCAGGTACACATGTGCAATCTTCCATTCTGATGGGATATCACCAATTATAAAGCAAATTTGTATTAGTTTCCAAAGAAGGTGTTGAAGATTAGGTCCAAGATGTTTAATCTGTTCATTATGTATTCCAGAAGGTCTAGCTGCTTTTTCATTAGGAAGTTTTGCAATCATAGCCATCCATTCTTCAAAAATAGGGGGATCCATAAGTCAATCATACCAAGAGCTATCAACAAATCTTTAGGAGCATATTGTGATAGCCATCGATCTGAAAGAGAGGTAGCAGAAGTTGTAGGAATAGCATAGTTTTGAAAATGATTATTGACCAATGTTTTGATTCTTTTAGGATCAAAGACAAGTTCTTTAGAGCCAGAAGGTGTAGTAATCAATAATCTATCTAAAACAATTTGCTTCTTATTTCATCCAAAGGCAGATTGAATTATTCTTCCAGGATTTGATTCATATTGAAGACATCTTTGCTGTATAAAGTGTTTAATTTTATTAGTATTGATATTGTTTTCTTCTATTTTAAAGAGAGCTTTTACATTTCTATAAAGATCCAAGATATATTTTCTAGTAGCTATGATATTATCAGGGGTAATATGGTTTGGGATAGATTGTCTTGAAAGATCAGCTTTATTTATTATATTATATAATGTAATGATATCTTCATCCTATTCTACATCGATAGGCCAAGTTTTAGACTGTACTCTTTTGTTACAAAACTTGAGAAGAATTCTATTGAGCTTTTAAGATGATCATAATGAGTAACCAATTCTTTAGGTTTAGGTGCATTATCATAGGAGGTTACCCATTTATACGGAATGGTATAAGAGGTAACGTGGATGATATCATTACAAATAGCTTCTCATAATTTATTCATATGTGTTATATTCAGGGTAGATCAATAAGCAAATTCAAAGAATTGTTTTGGAATAAATTTCAGTTTATTCTGAAAATTTAATCCATTTCTCATGATTCATAAAAGAAAAGGTCAAAACTTTTCTCTTAGTGTTGTTTCGTTTAGCTTGAGTATTTTTTCCAATTTTGACATCAGCAAAATGGGCGATCAGCATTTTATGGTCAGATTTGTAAAGGAAGGACTTTGTGATTCTATAGTAGATAAAATCAGAAATAAATTCTGAGGAGGCAAAGATTTCATCTAATCGTTTAGGTGTGGTTTTATGTTCATTACTATAAGAAGGAATAAAGGTTAGTTTCGGTTCGTCATTGCTAATATCATGTAGATCTAAAAAATTTCTTTGAAAAAGGCCTTTAATAAGATCAAATTTCCAGCTGGAAGATTTTTCATAGTATAATAGTTTGTTAAAATCATCGATATCAGCGTTAAAGTCTCCCATAAAGATCACATGATAATTTTTTCTAATAGAGTCATTAATAATATGTAGAAGTTGTTTTTGTAATACTCATCTATTATGTTTATCTTATGGATTACTGGGAGATGCGTGAATATAAAGCTGAAAACTCTAAGTTTAGCATGTTCATTTAGAAATAGGTCAATATAAATGAATCTATTGTTATCCAAAAAGATTTTGTAATGAAGTGGCTCTATTTTTTGCTGATAAAGAGTCCCACTCTAGCAGCAGGAGAATCATTAGGATCAGGTTTACTTTAGAAGGAGACAAAATCAGGATTATTTTTATATTTAAAAAATATCGATGATTTATGGTGTGTTTCAGTAAAGCTTACAAAATTAGTTTTCTTTATTCTAAATGTATCAATGATTTGATTGCATTTGATATCATCATTCATTCCACACACATTATAAGTGGTAAAACTAAAGACATTTCCCGATATAATATCAAGAATGTCTGCATCAGGTAAGTGTTCAATATTATTATCAATAGCATTAATTTCTATATTTCTATTTGTATGAAATGTATTTAATTATGTGTTGAGAAAGTTATCTACGTCCATTTGATCGTGAGAGTCAATTCGGTTATTAGTAAAATTGACATTAATCTGTGATTCACCTGGTATAGAGGTTTATAATCATTAAGCTAGTGGCCCATTTGGGTTAGCAAAAGAGAGCATTTGAGAATCTAGTTTTGCTAAATGTTCTTTAATAGAATCCAGTTCTTGTAATTTGTTAAGGATCAAAGATAATGGATCGGTATTGTCTTTAAGATCGGTTGAAGGTAAAACATGATCTTTTCCTTTTTATAAACTATTGAAAGGTAATGGATCAGTAAAATTATTATCTACATATCTACGAACTGCAGATTGTTGTGGATTTGAGGTATATGAATTATTATAAAATAAAGTTTTAGGTTGTGTTAAAATTGATGGAGAAGTATGTTATGATGTATAGGGTCTAATAAGCCTACGAGATCTATTATCTAAAAGGTATTCATTATGCGATATTCTAATTTTACATGTGTTAAGCATATCTTCTTCAGTAGCAAAAGCAAAATAAGCAATATGACCATGAAAGTAGCATGTTCTTCCATTATAATGTCGCATTGTTCTCATAGCTTCAGATGCTGTATTAGATTCTTTAAAGCCCTTAAAATCAGCTACAAATTAGTTTCGAGTTTAAGTTCATTAACAGGTGTATCAATATGAGCATATCTAATACAATATTTAGAAATATTGATTGCCCAGGCTTCTTTTAATTGTTGAGGTTTACGGATTTTAGAAAAAGTAATAATGATATCTCTATTGAAAGGATTTCTATAATTATGTTTTTCTTCAAAGAATACAACATTTCCATAGTATGTAATAGCACATTTGATATCATTGAAATTAATTAAATATGAAACTTCTTTAAGTTTATAGATGGGGGTTGAAGATTCAAAATTTTTTACTGGGTGATCATCAATAACATTAAAGTGAGCTTGTAGATACTGTTCTAAAGCTTTATCTATGGCTTTCAATAAAAGTTTTCTATTATTGAAATGAAATACTATGTGTGCATTACCATTAAGGAACTCCCAATCTAAATCAAAAAATCCTGGGAGAGGAGCTAATAACGAATTCATCAATTCTAATTTCTCATATCTAATATCTCCTGATGCAAGTATGACCATTACGAATGCCTTATAAATTTTATAGGAGGAGTACAAGAGATTTTAGGTTTGTTGATATGGTGACGAAGATCTTAAGAATGTAATTGAGGTTTAATAGTATTCGAACTATTTCTATGGTAATTATGTCGAGAGTCTATAGCAGTTTCTTTGGGATTGAAGTCATGTGACTTTCATCAGCAAGTGAAGAATCACATGCATCTTGTATAATAGTTGATGTGAAAGACGTGTTATTATTATTTATATTGTGTGATTTGTTATTATTGTTATTAAGTGAATACGTGTTAAGATTGTTATTAATAACAGATGCATCACTTTTATGTAAAATTTATTGATTACATGATTATTGTTTATGAAATGCGTTAATTTTCACGGCAGTTGAAGGCCTTGGTGAAAAATTAGCAAGAGATGAAGGAAGTTTATTATGAATTTGATTAACAGAAGAATCTATATCATCTTCATCCAAAGTATCCATATCAGGTGAAATAGAGTTAGCAATAGAAATGATATCATCATTGTCGACAATGTTGTTAATAGTATTGTTGATAAGATATTTGGTGTTGTTTACAGCAAAATTCTCTGTTCCAGTTTCGTGTATAGTAAAAGCACTAGAATGTGCCAATTGTTTTATGAAGTTCTGTAGAAGTTCTATCTTGTCAGGAAAGAGTTTATCATATTCAAAATTTAATTTTCTAACAAGCCAAAAAAATTCGGGTGTTTGAAAGCTAAGATATTTAGTGATCTCTATATTTCTTTCAGTAAGGTGGGGAGTAATAAAAGATAAAGTTTTTAAGAATTTATAGGTGTCTTGAAAAAATATTCCACAAAAGTTTTCTAAAGTATTTGTATTCATTTTTGTTTAAAAGGAATAAAATTAAGTTTCTAAAAGTTTATTTGTATATATATATTTAATAAAGAAATAATAGTAAAAAGCGAAATATTTAAAGTTTTTGTTTTTTATAAATTTTTGGTTTGGAGCGAAGAGAGAAAGAGTTTTCAACCAACACTAGTCGAAATAATCCATTTCGTCACTTTTTAAAAGTGCCAAATGTTGGCCGAAATATAGTCTAATTTTTGCCGATTATTGCCAAAACAATTAGCATTTTTAGTTATAGCTGAAGTTGCCTATTTTCATGTCACACAAAAAAACATTCGACATTAATGATTGGTAGTTATTTTATATGTTTGATAAAATCGGCTTAAATTCATTCAACTAACAAAATAAACAAAATTTGACTTGTTAATAAAAAGTTCAGAAATATTTCAGCTATAAGTAATCGCAAAATCAGCGAAATAAAATTTCTGATATTTAGACGATCTTATTATATTTATTTTCATATTTTTTAACGATTTATTTATTTTATAATAACGTAATTTAATCGAATTAATAACAAATGGTTTATTAATTTAAAATATAAAATAAAATATATAATAAAATATAATTATAAAATATAATAATACAAATATATATAAAATAAACTAAGAATCAAATAAAATTAGTTATAAATTATGATATGTCAAATTTATTCTTATTCTTCAATATCATCATCTTCACCTTCAACTTCAGTTACTGGTGCTGAAAAATCAGTGTCTGCTGGAGTATTTTGATTTACAAATGTCCAGTTAGAAGAGTTTCGAAGGTGTTGAATATGTATCGTAAAATCGTTGCTATAATGTCGAGTTCTCGTTAATTGCGTAGTTTGCAATAAGAACGCATAATGGTTAACCTCTCACAACAACGCCCTTAACTAATAAAATTAAATATCAGAATTAGTTAAAATTTTAACAAAAATTATAAATAAATTTCTAAAAAAGTATTGAACTTCATCTAATCTCCAGCTTGGGTTATAAACATTAATTGTTCAAATTCCCGTTTCTTCTGAATCAGTCACCGAATCTTTAAGGGAATAATAACGATTGTCCCCAAGATCCTCAATAACCCTTCTTTATCATATTTCAAAATTCTCTCATCGTCTAAATCAAAAAGCAAATTGGCATCTTTAATCCTTCTGGCCTTTTTCTATATTAAAATATCAAATGTTAATTGAAGTTCATTTTTCTTAAAAAATAAATCAATTTCGATTATATTTACCTTACTGATACGATTGTTTTTATGTAATCGCTGATTATCATGATCTAAAGTAACGTATTGTTTATATAATAACTGAACTCGTCAATATCTGTGAAGTGAGCCAAGCCAATATCTGATTTATTTGTATGTTGTTTTGAACCTTTTTAAAGGTTTGACGAGATGCGGTATTACTTGTCATAATATTTCAGTATTTTCTTCATTGCTGAACTTAAGATCGTATTTCATTTCGAGATAGTTCAACAGTGTTTTTAAAATCGTTTTCATTTCAATCTAAATTATAAAAAAAATAAAGCCAATTTAAGTTAATTTGATTGATGTCGGTTATATTTGATTAAAATTCAGTTAGAATTAAAATTATTTTAATTAAAATTCAGAAGAGATTTTAAATGAATCCTGATCGTGTCATTATTGTAAGACTCTTGTTCATCGCTTTCATCACAACTGTGTCGAGTTTGTTTTTCTTAACAATCATCATCTGATTCTTCATCTCTACGTCTTCATCGGCCTTGTCTAAGTTCATCTCGCAAACTCTCATTTTCACGAATAAGCGCTTCATTATCTTCAGTAACTTTACTAAATTCTGTCCTTAATTATCTTAATTCTTCATTTGCATTGCTAAGTTGCCTGCTCAACTCATCGATTCTTCCACATAAATATGCTTTTTCATAGAAAAGTTAACAATAAATTGATTAAAAATATATATCAGCTAAATTTTTGCAATAAATTGCACTTACCTTTGCTTAGCGAAGAATTAGTTGTTCCAGGAGAAGTTTCTCTCCTTCTTAGTCAATAAGGAGTTACACTCCTTTCATCATGTCTTAATCCGCGATCTAGTATGTATTGATATGTAGTATATCAAAATTCGTCATTTTGAGAAATGTCAAATTGTCGATGATAAGGAGTTATACTCCTTTTGCTACTCCTTTCATCGTGATGTCTTTCATCACCTATTTGCTGACGTGTTGAAGACCTTTCAGTTATCCTCTGACGGAAAGCTGATAATACTTGCAGATCCTAGTTATCAGCTTCCAGAATGGCACTTCTAACCATACTAGCTGTTGAGGTTTCACCATGTTGATGTTCGTCTTCGATCCTGTAATTAAGTGAAACATCATAATCTTCTCTCCACCTGATCGAGTTAGAGATTGAGGTTAAGTTTCTTTGGAAATATTTGATGGCACATATAATTTGAATGGTCCTTCATTTGCCGGATCCTGCCAACGTAAAGATTTTGATATTTCCAATTGACTTTTAGTTGCCAGAATTTGCTGACTTGATGTTTCTTGACTACTTAGATTTGGTGCTTAAACTTGTCGATATGGTATTTTTTGGCTACTAAGAAGCGTCGAAGTTGTTGTCAAAACCTGCTGACGTGTTTCTTGGCTACTAAGAAGTGTTGAAGGTAGTGTTGTCATAGGACTTGAACACAGATATGGATTGTCCGATCCCAGATTGTTCTTCGGACATGAACATAAAATTTTGTGCCTGAGACATTTGGGACAAATTTATAGGCATTATATACTTTTAATTGGCTGATCAACGATAATCATCATGTGAAATCCAACCAATCAGGTTTAGGATTAGTGCGCGTTACAGTACAAAATATTTTCTTTCAGTATCATTGAGTAATAACCAATTAACTGGTTTTCCATAAAAATCTTTCAAGCTAGGATTCTTCAAATCTTGTTCGATGGTAAGTCTATAGAGAGGGATAAGTTATTTTTGTCTTTTTATAAAAATCATAACTAAAATTACATTCTTTTAGGTTACAAAAAAAAAGATTCTTCAAAGCTTGAATTTCAAAGGTAAATCTATGAAAACAGAGAGTAGCATTATTTTTTATTTTTTAAAACAAAACAAAATAATAAAAACTAATACTGGTCGAAATCAAAAAAATCGGTATATGGTAAATCAGCTTAAAATTGGCTCAAAATCAGCCTAAAATAGCCAATTTAAACAATTAAAAAATTCAGATACTTCAAATCACCCCAAATGATCGTCATTTGTGTACTTATTTATTACATATTTGTCTATTATTTCCGAATATAGGAAAAAAAATTTTCTCTTTTATACAATTTTATTTTTTTATTTTTTTGACAATTTGACTTTAAAACGTTATTTCGGCATAATAGTTTAAGTAAATCACCTCAAGTCGCTTAAGTAAAGTTGTTCAGCGAGTCCTAAAATAGTCGAATCTCAATTTTCATCAAGGTTAGTTTGATATTCATAGAGTAAATCACGTTTTTCTTAACGCTATTAACATACGAATTTTACTTTTTTGCTGATTTGACTTCAAAATATTATTTCGGCATAATACTTCAAGTAAATCATCTTTAGTCGCCTAAGTAAAATTGTTCAGCGAGTCTGAATATAGTCGAATCTCAAGTTTTAGCATAGTTTATTTGATATTCATGGAGTAAATCACATTTTTATAATGCTATTAATATACGAATTTTTTTTATTTTCCGAATCGTTCAATTTCAACACTTTAGTCCATGTAAATCACCTTTAGTCGCCAAAGTAATATTATTCAGCGGGTCCGATTTTAGTTGAATCTCAAATTTCATCAACGTTGGTTTAATATTCATAGATTAATTCACATTTTTCTTAACACTATTAACAAACAAATTTATTTTTTGCCGTTTGATTAAAATTTTTATTTAGGACCTTTTGTTCAAGTAAATCACCTTTAGTCGCCTAAGTAAAGTTGTTCAGCGAGTCCAAAAATAGTTGAATATTAATTTTCATCAAGGTTGGTTTGATATTAATAGAGTAAATCATATTTTTCTTAACGCTATTAATACACAAATTTATATTTTAACAATTTGTTTAATTTCGGCACTTTATTCCATGTAAATCGCCTTTCATTGCCTAAGTAAAGATGTTCAGTGGGTCCGAATTTAGTTGAATCTCAAATTTCATCAATATTGGTCTAATATTCGTAGAGTAATTCATAATTTTCGTGAAATACGAATGCTTTTTGATGAATTTTATGAATTGAGATCTTGATTGGGTCGATTGGCGCAGATTATGCGATTTATAGCTGATTTGGATTATTTTGAATCTAAAACTGTTGGTAAAATAGGCATTTTTAAAAAAATTTACTGTAACAAAATATAAAATCTAATCTATAAATTTATTAGGACATAGATAGGACATGTCCGAAAATAAAATTTTAGTGGAACATGTCCTTATGACAATTAATAAGCTAGGACATTCTAGGACACAGACATTTGGACATGTTCCAAAATGCCTCATGTCACAATCTACATATTGGACATTGTCCCATGTACATCACTGGTTGAAGGTGTTGTCGGAATCTGCTAACGTGTTTCTTGACTATTTGAAAGTGTCGAAGTTGTTATCAGAACCTGCCAACGTAAAGTATCTGCCATTTCTTGGCTACTATGAGTTTCTGTTATTCTCTAAGTTCTTGTTGACGCATTGCTTCCTAACGGTGTAGTGGTTGATGATATACTGTTGCAGCCTTTTTTGACCCATATTTCTAGTCATATTTGCAACAAAATTTTATTTGATAAAAGCAAGAAAACGAGGAAGACGAAATATTATTTGTGAAAAAAGTGAGAAAATGATATATGCGAAAGAGAAAAGAAATATTATTTTTAGCGAAAAATAAACGAAATATTGTTTGTAAGAAGGTGTGAAAATTTTTTTGTCAAAAGAGATTTGAAATGTTATTTGTGAGAAAATATTGAAGAGTTTGATTAAAAATAGTTTGAGAGAAATGAACCTTTTTATAAGCTTTCGGTTAAATAGAGTTTATTTTAATAGTATATATATACATTGCATGTAATTTATATAACTTTCGACTTTAAATGCGATTAATTCTTAAAAATTTTGATTATCATGCGGTAATTGATTCAAATTTCAATTATAATGCGGTAATTCTTAAAAATTTCAATTATTATACGGTAATTGATTCAAATTTCGATTATAATGTGGTATTCTTTTAAGTTTCGCTTATAATGCAATTATTCTTTTAAGTTTCAATATAATGTGCAATAATAATTTTAAATTTCGATTATAATGCGATAATTCTTAAAAATTTCGATTACCATGCGGTAATTGATTCAAATTTTGATTATAATGTGGTAATTGTTTTAAGTTTCAATTTAATGCAATTATTCTTTTAAGTTTCAATGTAATGTGCGATAATAATTTTAAGTTTCAATGTAATGTGTGATAATAATTTTAAATTTCAATGTAATGTGTAATAATAATTTTAAATTTTGATTATAATGCAATAATTCTTAAAAATTTTGATTATCATGCGATAATAATGCAGTGATATAATTGTATTGCAGTCATCATTTTAATTTTTAGAATATAATGCAGGTTTTACTTTAAATTTCAATTATCATACAGTTATTGTTTTAAGTTTCGATTATAATGCAGGTGTCGATTATTATGTGGATACTAATTTAAGTATTATTCCGCCACAGCATCTATATTAATTGTTTCATTTATATATATATAAATAGTTTATTGACATTGACAAAAGAACAGCAATTTCAAATTTTCAAGATTGACAAAAAATAGGTCTATTTCAAATATCATTGGTAATAAGCTGACAAAACAACTATCTCGAATAAAAAAAGATAACAAGGTTCCTTGTTATTATAATACTTGTAATGGAAAATTAATTCTAAATCAGACCAAACTTTTTCATGAATCGACAAGTGGTTCATCTTTAATTCATGATGATTCTGTCATCGAACAATTATTTTCAAATTTTGACGAATTGATACTTGATACTGGATCACCTGCTGAAATCAAATTACAGGCTTTGAGGAATGAAATGATTGATAATGAATCACAAGCTTCAAGAATCGAAATGATTAATCATTATCCTAAATTACTGAATTTACCTTGAAGGTGTATAAGAAGGTATATAAGTTATTCGCAAGTTACTGACGATTTGAGTGAATCTAAAAATGAATAACATACTGATTCTTCTTTAAGCAATAATTATGAACATAATGAAAAATGACATATCGAATCTCCTATGAGTAAAGACGAAAGTGAATTGGATGATTTACTTATTTCTGAAACTTTGGAAGATTATTCGTTGCCAAAATATGAACCATATCAAGATGAAGAAGAGGAAGTAACAATTGATGATCAATTTGCATGGATTTTATTATGGATAATGAACTTTCGAATTATATTCAACATACCAGAAACTGTAACATATTCTCTAATAAAATTTATGAAATTAGTTCTAATTGAAATAGATTTATCAAATTTCTAAGTACTCTTTATTTAGCAAAGAAATCATTTGGCCTCAAAGATTGATTTCATAGTTTTATATCTTATACAATATATCATAAACTTTACAATAGATATGAAGTAGTGAACTTTTAGCAGAATGATATTTTATCGATTATAAAATGCAATCATGTTGAATTTCTGAATTCATCAATTTACAGGTTACTGCTTTATAATACATCATTGTCTCGCAAACAGATAATTCAAATTTTTTCAACCAAAATTAATTTATCCATTTGCCAGCATTTGAGAACAACTTAGTGTTATGTTTCATCAACAAGGTTTTGAAAATTATCTATATTATTGGGCCGATAGAAAAAGTTTTGATAACATATTGGTTGACATATATAATAGACAAGTTTGAAAGACATTTAAAGAAAATGATTCAGAAATTTCACTAAAATTTTTCAGACCTGATGTAGCTGATTCACATCTAGGCTTAATGTTAAATTTGTATTGGTTTCAACCATTTGACGGAACAATCCATAGCACTGGAGTATTATATGCCGCAATTTGTAATCTTCCAAGAGACATTCGATTCAAGCGTGAAAATTTACTAATTCTTGGAATTATGCCCGGCCTGAATGAAGTGAGTTTACACAACATAAACTATTATTTAACATCAATTATTGACAAATTAGAGTTACTTTAGAATGGTGTGACTCTAAATCAAACATACAAATGTCAAGAAGGAAGAAGAATTCATGCAGCATTAATCCTTATTTAATGCAATATTCCCACAGCAAGAAAAATTTATGGTTATGTTTCGGCATTGGTATCATGTCATTGGTGTGAAAAGAAGACAAATTATGAAAATCAGCAACATAATTTTGCTGGAATGATTAACATGAACGAATGGTTTACTCCTCAGGATTTATCACAACATCAAGAGGATGCACTTGGCTGGCGAAGGTGTAATTCAGATGCTAACAGAAAGCGAATAATAGCGTTAGATGGTCTGAATTACTTCAGTTATCATACTTTGACCTAATTCAATTTTTAACAGTCAATCCAATACATTGTCTATTTTTAGGTATAGCGAAATGGATAGTTAAATGAATTTGGGTCAATGAGAAGGTTTTATCTTCAGATGCTCTTAAAAGTATCCAAAAGAATATGAATTAAATTCAAGTTTCAGCAGATTTGGGTAGAATCCCTCGAAAAATGGACTGTGGAGAAGTATTTTCCAACTTCACAGCAGACCAATAGTGAACATTTTATACAATTTATGCAACTACATCACTTTGGGAATATTTATCAGTAATCGATCGAATGATTCTAACACATTTTGTTAGAGTTTGTTCAATTCTGGTAGGTCAAATTCTGGAACTTGATTCAGTACAAGAAGCTCACGAAAGGTTGATTAAAATAGTAAAACTTATTAAGAAGCATTACAGGCGTGATAAAATAATACTGAATCTTCACCTTTCGCTTTATTTATGAGAAAGTTCATACGATTTCAGCCCTTTATACACTTTCTGGTGTTTCTCATTTGAATGTATGAATGGGATACTCAGTAATTATAGCTTCTTTTTCTTTTTGCCGATTTATATAACAAAATGTGCAGTAAATAACGAAATATGTTAATAATATTTAGGTTCATTACCGAGTAGCTATAGACAAATTGAGCTAGAAATAATACGCAGATTAATGATTGATAATCATATTAGAGAAATCAGTAGTTCAGTAAATATTTGAACAAAAAGTTTAGATTTGCTTGATAATCAAACTGTAGTTAGTTCGTTATTAGAAGATGACGAATATTTATCAAATGAAATGGAGTGATTTTGGTCTAATTCGAAAAACATATGGGAATTGATCATTACTGGATGTGAACCATTTCCTGGAGAAATACTAAGTCCTAAATTCAATGTGATATTGTTCAAGATGATGCTTGATTTAATAGTTAAATACTACACAATAATATACACTAGGTATAGGCAATATTGGGGGTTCTGGAACAGCTCTCAAATCCGTCTATATACCCAGTTTGCTATTTGATTTCCACTATCAAATTCAAACCTCTAGCACATTTTAACTCAATTCTAGATGATATTATCGAACTTGGCT